TGTCGCTCACAGTGGTCCAAGGGACCGCTCAGGGAGTTTGTGTGTTCGCTCAGACACGTGAAAAATTAGAGGGAACATTGGTGCCGCTCCTGTCAGCCAAGAACAGGAAAACTGACGCTACAGTTCGTATGAGCTCACCAAAATTGAAAAACTTGGTCTGACGAGTCTCAGATTCTGTTGCAGCATTCAGATGGTAGAGTCAGAATTTGCATAAACAACACGAAAGCATGGATCCATGTATTGTTCAGGTTGTTCTTGGTGTAACAGCATATGGGGGGATTTTCTTTGAGACCTTAGTATCAACTGCTCAACGTTTAAACTACCGGAGTATCTTCGCTAACCACAACCATCCATGATTTATGAGCACAGGGTATTCATTTCCTGATTGCTGCTTGCAGCAGGGTAACACATGTCATGAAACTCTGACTATCTCAAGCTTGTTACTTTAACATAACTGAGTTCACTGCACTCTAATAGCTCTCAATCTAATGGAGCTCCTCTGGGATGTAGTGGAATAGGAGATGCATATCATAGATGTGCAATCGACAACTCTGCAGCAACTGTGCGGTGATGTGGTCACTGAATCTGTGCCAAAGACTTTAAGTCAGGTCTGAAGGCAAAAGGGGTCCAAGCCAGTACTAAAAAGGTGTGCCTAATGAAGTGTCTGATGATGGTCTACAGATTAGGCTCGATTACTGTAAATGTGACTAACTATCATAATTCATTGTAATGTACTTTGGCTTACCACGATAACCTGTTTATCACTACAGATTGTTTCATTATCAGAGCTGAAGGCTGCCTGAGTGCGTCTCTCACCTCTATAAAAATGTGCCACAGTAATAAACACTCCTTGTCAGTTGACTATGTGAGGTGAGACAGGGGTTTATTTTCTTACTGTGTCAGGGCGTGGTGAGCTTCAATAAAGATTTCTTGAGCTTTCTCTGCAAAATCCTTTGTTGTGAACACGGAGTCGTGCTCTTTGATTTTACGAATCCTGAAAGAACAAGAATACGGTTCGTTCACCATAAGATATTCAATGAATTCAATTAAGCAGCTGGATTGAGAAGATAATCGTTCTCAAAAATATCCAGAAAAGAAAAGCATCAGCACAGCGACAACACAAAGACACAAAGAAGAGAATCTTACGCCAGCTGTGAGGCGGCACTTTGTCGTATCTGTTCAGTACGTTGTTTCAGGCCTTCTTTAGACAGAGTGGAAAGACGAGCATCACCCTCTGGGGGTATGTAGGGGTCGAAGATTCCCGCTGGTAGAGAGAGCAGACGTGACTGATCAGCCAGTGTGAAGCCTCCGAGCAGGGAAATGTTTCAAAATAAATCATTCCTGCTGACTGATTTAGCAAGAACAATATATAACCCTACTTAGAGCACTAAAACCCTCTGTTTAGCTTCTGTGTGGCACTGACATCTTATTCAGGACACACCCCGTACACGACTGAAGACAAAAGGGGGACAGAGTCTTTCAGTCTGTTGCACCAAGGCTGTGGAACAGTTTACCACTACAATTACGTTTGCTTGACTCTGTGGATTCTTTTAAAAAACAGTTAAAAACTCTT